CCACACTAGGAAAAAAGTCCCAAAAAAATGAATTAAAATGTTCAAAATTGAAAAATAAATTTGTTAAAATTGTAATGAAAAATAAATTAATGTTACATAAAAAATCATATAATTTCATAAAAAATAGAAGGGATCTTACATTCCTATAGGTATAAGGAATATAGGGTTATAGATATACTATGTAGTGTATATATTTTAATATATATATTTAATTTTAAAGTTCCTTAATGAAGATGATATTTTTGACTTTTGCTATAATTTAGTAATTTACCATTTAGTTTTAGTGTAGGTCAGTGCCGCAATAACCGGGTGTGTTGCGTGTGTCAAACACACGGGCCCAGGGCCCCAACTCATAATGGGGGGGGGGGCAAAATTATAAAAATTTAAAAATATATTGAAAGAAAAAAATAAAACCATTTTGTTATTAATAAAGATTGAACAAGATTGAACAATAGATCGGTTTTGTTTTGTAAACAACATTATCATACATCAACGTTTCTTTTGCGGCCTGTATAACCGAAATTAAAAATAGAAAAATAACTAATAAGACTAAAAATATAGATTAAACTAAGATTAAAAATAAGACTTTCAAATATAGCTTTGCTCAATATTGAAAGACAACAAACAAATGATATTCAAATAAAAAATATAATTGACAATTTTGTAAACAAAAGGCAAGAAAAATGAATTTTTGAAAGTGAGTACCGTATTTTTTTTTTTTTTAGTTTCTAATTGACTGTTAATGTATGGTACCTATGCATTGGCACAAATAGGGGGAGGGCTTGGGGGGGACTTAGTCTATCCAAATGTCGGTCAAGTCCCCCCAGTTCAAAATCTAGTAATTAGTACTAATTTTTATATTCTGTGGTACTAAGAAATATAGGGGAGGGGGCTTGAGTCCCCCCAAAAAATTTGCGGCTATGATGGTACCTATGTTTAATTTATTTTTAATTTGGTAATTATTTATAATTAAATATTTTAAAATGAATAAAAAAGTCTACAAATTATTACATTTATTAATTTGTAAATACATAAGTGTTTTAATTATGTTAACCTTATTTTGTATGAGTAAAAACTCAAAATTCCAAAGTATGTTTTCAAATTTGGAAAAATTAATTTTACAATAGTCAATAGGTAAATTTTTCATTCATTTTATTTACACACGGGCCCAAATTGGTGTAGTTGCGGCATTTGTGTAGGTAATGATAATATGGTACCTATATATCAAATTGTATAGATAAATATAAAAAGTTTCTTACTATAAATTATTCATCATAAATTGGTACCTAATTAGCAGAGGTAATTTTTATAAAAAATTTGTTTGTTATAATAGGAACCAATTCATTTTGGATGGTTTTTCGTATAGTGACTAATAAATATATACGAAATTACTATAGATACTTATAATTTGAACTTTGATTAGGAACATTACATAAAAAAACTTTTTTGGTAAAATAATGGGTTATATATGGTATACCTATATAAACAGGTATTTTTAAAAGCCGTAAGTCCTAACTTAAGAAAGAGGTACCTAATGGCTAATTATAATATTACATTTTTATATCACTATTATTATAACTATATAGGTACGATAATTGTATTTATTATTGACTATTGTATTACATTTTATTATTTTATAGACTTCAATTAAATTAAATTTTATTATATTTTAATATGTTATTTAAGTAAGTACCTACTTAACATTTTTTATGATATTATATGATTTTTTATGTAACTTTAATGTATTTTTCAATACACTTTTAACATATTTATACTTCAATTTTGATATATTTTCATTAATTTTTATCGGAACTTTTTTTTCCTCGATTCAGCCATGACATTGTTGATTGTATTCTAGTGTTTTATAACCATGCGGTTAAAGCACAGAATAGGTTTAATCTATTCTGTGGTTAAGGTATTTAATATGAACACATTCAAGAAATCATCCAACGATACATCACGGTTATAGTATAATTGTGGTAAGGTTGGAAGTATTGTATTACAGGAGGGTGGTAATATGATGCAGTGGTGGCTCTAGGGGAGGGGACCAGGGGGCTATGCCCCCCCCCCCCCCGAAAACCAAAGTCGAGTCTGATGTGTGGCTAGCAAAGTGGAATCGTGTGAAAATGTATAACGGCAGAATTCCAGAAACAGCTTTAGAAGTACTCGATGTTTGTGATGTTGATATGTTTCCCGCGATTCATACTTTGATTCATATTTTAGCAACTTTGCCAGTCAGTGTAGCGACGGCTGAAAGGTCCTTCTCGACATTGCAACGGCTTAAAACCTGGTTACGTAAACGAATGGTTGAGGACAGACTCAATGGTCTCGCTCTTATGCACATTCACCGAGATATATCTATAGATATATAGAGCAAGTTATAGATAGATTTGCTAAAAATAAAAACCGAAAATTAGACTTTATTATATGTTTATTTTGTATAATATTTTCAATTTCGTGTATTTTAATGACTAATGTTTGTAATATGTGGCACTAATTTTAATAAATATATTATTAAATATTAAAAAAAAAGTGTGATGTTTCCCCCCCCCCCAGAATCAAACTCTAGAGCAGCCACTGATATGATGTACGGACAATCGGGGCATTAAAACTTCTGCACCCCTGGGGCCCAAAAATCTTAGTTGCGGCACTGAATATAGGCTTGTAGTTTGCCTATTCAGCACCTATTAGGTATTTGAAACACCAGAGACGTGGGTCCGATTACCAGTATTTTTAGCCTTTAAGTATAGTATAGGTAAAAGTTGGGAAGTATACCTAAGCTAAGACAAAATAAGTAAAATGTTCTAAAGTCCCCTTAGTGACCTCTTTCCACTTACTATTTCGGTACTCCTAAAATTTCCGAAAGACGACGTGTACTACAGCCTCGTAGCTGTAATTTAATTTTGACCAGAATCTCTAATTTCTGCACGACAAACACGACTGATGCACCATTGCACCAAATAACATTTAACATACCTATATCATATTTGAATATACGATAAAAGATAAGATAAAATAAAGATAAAATGTAATGTAATTATCGATTAAGAGACTCCGTCGCGATTGTTGAACTATTGATCTATTAATATACTCGATAAAAATGTCCCAATTATCCGGATTCGTGGCCCAGATGAGCGGTGAACATTTACCCTACAAGTATACATTTGTTTTTGTAATTGAAGAATTGTCCCTATTAAGCGGTTGTCCTTATTAACCGGTCTCTATTATGCGGAATCGACTGAATTACTCTATGAGCCCTAATATAGGCCAATACTTACTATAAAATACTAGACACAAGTTACTAAGTATTTTACTGCTTCAACAACATAATATTAATTTTGAAAATGAACACTATATATACATATTTATATAATGTTAAACGTAATTAGTGATAAAATATAAAATCGAAACATTTTACTTCAATTTTTCATAGGTACAACTTGAATTTTATTCAAATTAATCATATGTTATAACATAACCAACCCATAAAATAAGTTCTAACATTATTTTTAAAACATAAAATAAAGTAGTCACCTAAAATCCATACAATGTACTATTATAATCAAATTAATTCATTATAAATCATAAGAATTGTAATGAATATGTTTATAACTATAAGTTAAATGTATTAACTATCTATATTATATACCGATACCTATTACCTAATATAGAAATCATACTCAATAAGAATCTTCATTTACTTACATAATATTATGTCCTTTATAAAATACATCACAAAATGTCATCAACTAATATTTTTTTAAAAAAATCTAAATTAATAAACAAATGTTTGTACTAACGATAAATTTCGTTTTTCGTTAATGCACAAATAATAGTTAAAATATTAATGTATAATAATTGGAACAGAAAAATAAATAAAACAACAAATCTTGCATTAAAATAATGGGAGAATATCAATGAATCATGAAATGTACTATCACAATTCACAATCAATATTTAATATTAATACAATCGACATATAAAATGACTTTTCTTTCTTAAACTTGATTAAAATAGATTTTACTTCACAATCATTGTGAAGACAATGAATCAAACAATGAATCAGACAATTAATCATAAAACTCAGTAATAAATTTGGTACATCAAAAAATATAAGATAAAATTAAAAAATTGAATTGATTGAACTGATAAAAAAAAAATCAATTGACATTGTTAAATTATTCAAGTCAATCCCACAACTGCTTGAAATCAAAATAATATTCTGATCCCATAATTATAGCGACAGATTAACTATTAAAACCAAAGAAAGTAAAAATTTACTTTTTCATTTATCTCCAAATAAAACACAATTTGTTTTTTTTTACTTTTATGAAAAAACAAACAAAAAACAGATATATCAAAATAGTCTGCCCATATTTGTTAGTATTAAAAAACCACTGAACGCAATTGTATTGAACTCAGAAATAAAAATCATTATTATTATTATTATTATAAGAAAATGTAGACAAGGTTAAAAATGTTATTCTGTTGACATCAAATTTGTGATAAAACTGTTGTTACACAATTAAATGATAGAATAGTTAACAGAACTGTAATGTTAAGTATTATTTATTGGGCATACTGCTTTAATTTAAGAACTTCAAATGTTGATAGCAATAGAAAGGCTTGAACATATCTTTTTGAACTCAAAGTAAAAATATAAAGACTGTCAGTAAAAAAAATAAACAAAAAAAAATAAAATAAATATGTTAAACAACTAACATGCAAAAAACCTTGTTTTCTCCAAAACATTTCAATAGTGTAATTCTTAACATGTATTATTCACCACATACAATAGTTATATAAAATCAATTGTAAATGTTCATCTAAGCCTTTTGTGTTTTTTTCCCACAAACACTTAATGTGCTAACATTTGTTGTTCATGATGTCTGCAAACGACGCTCAATAATAAAAATATTCTTTTTTCTGTTGATATATCAGCACCAACAAGACGCTCCCACGTGCTTATTGGATGTACTTGTCCAATGTAAAATATATCTTCAATATGGTTGCTGCATAATAATAAAATTAGAATAAAACATGATCTCATAATAGTGTTCCAATATTATCAATGATAAAGCAAGTTGATTTACCTGAGAGTACAATGTATTTGGTGGATTGTAAAACGACGTGACAGTACGGTCGCCTTGATATGTTGAATCTTGTGAGAGTAATCCATCCATTTGCGAATGAAACTCTCCCATCATGTAACTATCCTGCGATAGATCAGGCTGAGATAGACCAGGTTGCGAAAGACTGAACCCAGGTTGAGACATACTCTGAAAAATACACTTGAAAGTTAAAGCACAATAGAATTGTATTGATATTAGTAGGTTCAAAATTAATACCTGTGACATGTTCTGACTGTATGGCTGAGATACATCTTGAGTAATTGCTTGGCTGAGTGGCGAAGCACTGATTCCATTTGATTTTTGATTCTTCTGATTTGGTTTAGTCTTCAGACGACCACTAGTCATTGGCAGACGGTTATTAGTACGTACATTCTGACGATCTATATAAAAATGTATATAATAATATATATTTAACTAGATCGTACAATCAGCGACATATAGGCAAGGTATCGGCCTACAGTCTTTTTAGAATTTCTAATGTTTGATTACATCTACAACTACTGTAAGGTAAACCCACTGAGATTATCTCAGTTGCTCACCAACCCAATCCTTAAGTCTACTTATATTGAAAAAAGTACCATTTACAAAAAGGATAAGAATACTAGTGGATTGAATATATTTGGAAAATACTTAATAGATAAACTTACTTTGAACAGATTGTTGATTAAAGAATCTGGGAGCCATTGAATTCATATTCATCACCATGCCAACGGGTATCCCACCAATCTGTGGTTGAGATCTAGAATCTGGTGTGATGAACGTTAATGGATCATGATTACGAGTATATAAATCCAAACCCATTCCAACAGCAGGACCTAAGAACACAATATTTTTTAAGATTATAGGTATTAATCCTGAATTTATAATTATATAAGCATAAGATGAACTGAAAGATAATTTTTAGTACCTGGCCCTGGTCTTGGAAAATATTGAGGTGTACCATGACTATTAGGTACATTTCCTTGATTGCTACGATCATAAACACTGCCAGGGATCAAAGCTTCACGAGCATCATACATATGAGTTGTCATGAAATGTGATCCTGGATTAGCTGCATTCACCAACTGTTTGGGTTTAGATAATTGAATAAGAGACTCTTTCAAATTATTCAATGGTCCTTCTACCAATACATTGTTTGCTTTATAGTAATTCAACAGATGATTCCATAATTGTTGCTAAAATAAAATTCCAATTAGCTACGAAGAAAAATAATGAGTAAATTGTTTTATATACTTTTGATAAAACTTTTGGATTCCCAACAATCAATATGCCATATTTAGCTCTAGTCAGTGCAACATTTAATCGTCTGGGATCGTTGAGAAAACCAATTCCCTGGTGTTCGTTGGAACGCACACATGACATAATAATCAAATCTTTTTCCCGACCCTGAAATGCGTCAACACTAGCTATTTCGATTTCTTGATATACTTTAGCTGGAAGGGGGGCTTGATATTGCATGTATTGCACCTAAATAAGTATTTTTACATTATTACATAATATTAATAATTACTAGATCATTAAGAGGATGCTACACAGATATTTTTTATCCCCAACTTACAAGAGCGTAACATTGCAAAATTACACTCAGCGTCTCAGCAGATCACATTTAACTCAGTTAGTTAAAAAATTTTAGTGAATCGACCTATCATGAAATTTGGTGGTAAGAACACAATCTGTGTTTGTATTTGAGTTTTTTTATGATAATTTAATTTTTAAGTGAGTTATTAGAATTTTTAATTTATACTATATTATATACGAGTAACTTGCTAAAAAATTTAACTATCGTAAAAAAAACCACATACAAACACATAATTCACTTTAATTTTTAAACTAATGGAGCTAAACGTGATCTGTTACCCTGTTGTAAGACGGAGACAAGAAATGGCGGTTTGGCGTCCTCTTAATAAACTCATTATATGGATTATGCTTACCAAGTATGCACGTTGTCCTTCATATGGTGTGATAATTCCTATTTGATCAGGTTTAACACCACATCTCAAAAACCTAGTGGCAATTTTTTCAACGTTAGCAGCTTCTGTTCTATTCAAATATGACGTTCCTGAACCTGCTATTTCTTCTTGGCCTTGTGTCACATAAAATAACATTGGTTTATCTGCCACTGGCCAGGGAAACTCAATTTTGCTTAGCTTTCTATCATCTACATACACAGAATAATAATAAATTAACATACTACAGTATTGTTAATATGATAAATGTTATTACCAGCACAAACTCCATTTTGCAATGAACCTTCATAGAAGAAATTTGAAGGGAACCGTGATAGTTCTGGATGCATTCTATACTGAACTTCCAACCGGAATGGACGAATACCCAAAACTACAAGACGCTCAAAAAGAGATTGACTCAATCCAGCTCTAGCAGCTTTTTTACACATTACCACAGGTCCAAGTTGACAATGGTCTCCAACTAAAATTAACTAAAAAGAAAGAAATAAATAAAATAAAAAAAAAGAAATTATTATTTTAATTACCTGTTTTACTCCAAGCACAACTGGTACCATACACTCAGGTTCTGTAGCTTGCATGCTTTCATCTATCAAGATAGAATGAAATTTAAATCGTACTAAACGCGGATCACCAGCTCCAACACATGTAGTGCAAATAACATCTGCAGCTTTGAGTAATTCTCGTTCAGCTGCTTTTTTCAGAGCACGATACCTCTTTTCATCGGCCATTGACAATTCACCAGTCTCATCTTTTAACTGTTGAAACTTTTGAAGCTCAACGTTGCTTAAGAAAGAAGATAAAATTAGTAAATACAAATTCATAACACTAAAAATATAATAAAATCAATTACCATGACATCTTCCGGACCTGGTTATGAAGAGCTAAAAACGAAACTGGGGAATCAATAGCTTCACGAGATTTTGCACACACACGGACAACCTAAAATAAATTATATTAATAAAAACTTATATCAACTAAAATAGAGACATCATACTTTTAATCCAGTTCTATGAATTTTTTCTGTTAGTTGATCCACTGCGATATTTGAAGGAGCACATACCAACACTGGTCCACCATTAATTTTCACTAATTGATAAACAATTGTAGCAGAAGTCACAGTTTTACCGGTTCCTGGGGGTCCTTGGATTAAAGACAAAGGCCGTTGTACAGCATGCTTAACTGCATATACCTATAATCAACATTACCAAATTTATTATGAGTATGGTCAGAGCAGAAAGTATCAGTTAATTACTTGTGATCTGTTTAAATCTGGTAAGTTTGGCGCCGAGAAATGTTTTGGCATGTGTGACCTGAACATTAGATCATCAAACTCATGCCCAAGCAGTCTATGATATATATATGATGACACTGATGATTCGTCTGTAGCAAATCTTTTCAATGAACACTGCATTCTAAAAAATGAAAAATACAATATTTATTACTAAATAAACAGTGACTGGTATATTTTACCAAATTTAACTTCTTCTAAACTTACCTGTCGAAAGATGTAGATTTCCATATAAAATCTACCACATAATTTGATGTTATTTCAGTTGGTACACCGTTGTTAATTTTCAATTCCAAACCAACGTCTTCTCCATAATTGTCAGGTATTTTAATAACATGACCAATTCCAGCCCAAGGATTTTCACCAGTCAATCTCAAACGCAGTTCGTCACCATGCATCAAACGCATATCACCATCAGTCTTGGCTAGATGGAAATAGGCAATAGCCTTTTTATTTAATCCAACATCCCAGCGTACAGTAATGTTTTCTTGAGTCTGGGATTCTTTCAAACGTTTATCATAGTCTGCTTCTAATTTTACCAATGGTCCAAATACGTTTTGATACTGAAATCCATCTTCATATCTAAGTAAAACAATTTGTGGCTCTTCATCGACACCTGGTTTGTCAAGATCATTAATTGTTGCCTCATTATTATCTTTCCATAATTCTTCAAGCTTAGCGATTTGAGTAGCACTGACATGTCTAGAACGCAACTGATCAGTTTCATTTGGTACTTTAACAAGCCAAGTCAAAAAACAGCGATCAGCAATCAATGGTTTCCATTGTTCTTGATCCCTAAGAAATTGATAAAAAATACATTTTAAATATTATCTCATGTTGATAACTTGAAATGATTAGTATTACCAGTTCATATCTTTTAAAGCGTTTTGTGTGGAACATGGTTGTCTGCATAGCAGTATGACAACTGAGTCTGCTTTGGCCGGTATAAATCCAAGCACAAACACATTTTTTACACCACACGAATAACACTCCAGAACAGTTTCACCCAATGGACCATCTTTATGCAATGTTACCTCCTTATGTTTGGCTCGAACCAAATGATTAATAATATGCGATCCAGAAGTATTCCCACGACCATTACAAAACCATTTTTTGCAAATATTACACATGACTACACATCCGGGATCATGAATACCACAATATTTGCATGCATAATATGGCAATTCCTAAATATTATTAGATAAATATTATTATTACTAGATAAGGTAATACTGTTAAAGTTTTCTTAACCTAAGCTAATAATAATAGGAACTCATTAATCTCAATAAATTAGAAAGTGGTTAAAACAATAATTTTAGTGCAGGCTGTAAATAATATATAATATATTATACAGGGTATAACAGGAAGACATGACAAATAAAATAACATTTGTTTGAATCAATATTTTTTTTATATATAATTTACAGGCACGTGTGTTACATTTATAGTACCTAGAACCTTTTTAATTATATTTTTAATACTAAAAATAAACACTTTTAAATCTGATATTCATTTTTAGAATAGCCTATTTATAAATATGGTTTTTAAAAACTTATGATTCTAAAAACATTTATTTAAGTCATGTAGTTCAGTTATTACAATATTTTCTGTTAAGTAAAGTTGATCCAATGGTTAAAAAATGTTTAATTTAAAATGTATAAACTTTTTTTAAATTATATTTTATGAGAATTTTTCAATAAGTAGCTACTTGTTAAGATATTGTCAATTAATGAGTCTTGCCTCAATACACTTTGACACTTCAAAAAATTATAAGAAATAAACAACTTAACTTAGATAAATATTTTTATAATCAAAATTTTTCTAAGAACCAGATTTACAAATTAGTTAAAAAATAAATGGTTCATTTTAATTTTTCTATTTTCAGCCAATTTTTTAATCTAAATTTTAGACAAATTTCATTGGTAAAAACGTTTGTTTGAGTAAAGTAGTTTATTTTTTGGAGTAAATTAATTTGAAGCAATAAGTTTTTTCAAAATATTATTTTTGGGAATTTTTTGACCAAGTATATTTCTTAAATCATTTATTATCCATAACATTTAAAAAATGTTTCTTATACTTTTCACTAGGGATGGAAAACTTTTTTAAAACGTTTCAAGTTTTGTTAACAAAAGCAAAAATAAACTATTGTATACCACGAAAAAAAAAAATTCTGTTGTCAAAAAATTGATAGTTCTGATGACTAATAATTGTTGACTATAAATTTTATTTTTATCAGTGTTTATCTTTATTTTTTACATACTATTTATTATTTTTGTTTCAATGCGTAAGAGCAAATTTTTTATTTTGATTCTTAAATGGATTTTATATTTTTATTTTTGTATACAATTTTATGTTCAGGATTGTTTTTATTATTTAGTTATATACTCTAGAAATCTTAAATAGTGTTTCACTTTACGTCTTTAGTCTTTACCAATGCACTTTTAAAATTTAAAAACCTTTTAACTTGAAATTTTGAATTTTCTAATTTTTATATACCTAAATTATAATTTTGATTTAAAATTTAAATATTAAGAATGATTAATTTTAATTTTTAAGAGCATTCCTGTATTGCTCGTTACTTTTATAACTTAAGTTATAAGATTATAAAAAAAAAAAAAAAAAACTAAAAACAAAATTATTAAAAACGTTATTTGGAAACAATATAAAAAAAAAACATTTATCAAAAACGTAATAATCAAAAAAGTTAAGCAAAAACAATGTTTTTAATTCAATAAACAAAAACGTAAACAAAAAACCGTTTTCCATCCCTCCGTTAACAACTATCAATTTTTATATTTTATTTATCATGTCTTTCTGTTATACCTGTATATTATACAAAACTATTTTTAAATAATCATCAATAAATCTTAATTCAAATCAATGAGTTATTTTACATAATATATTATGTAGTTCTATAGTAAAATGTGATGTCGGTGTGTATGATGATGAAGATAAATTTAATAAATTTTTATAAGAAGCTTTTAGTTTAAATTATCATTTCAACTTGTATTATTCATTAATTATGTTAAAAGACTATACTGTATTCAGGTTACAATTGAACCACTCGGCCGACCAAAACTCGTCTCGTCAGTGCATCCCCACCACTAAACGCCCCCACTACGAGCATATACACAGCTGGAGCACTGACGACAGCGAGTACAGATGATCAATGGCTGCCGCCAGTGATTGTCAACCAACGGTAAAACGTAAAGCGATCGAAGGTGCAGTCTGCGAAACTGATTCTATCTTAACCTGAATAGAGTATAAACAATACTTTTAAATAAGTATATAAAATAAACTATAATTTCTACATAGCTGATTGGTTGAATTAATATGTATATAATGATTTTAAGCCATGGATACATTATAGTATATAAAAAAAACACAAATAAAATTAGGTTTCTTCTGTTTTCAATACTTTTAATTTTATATAATGCTAAAATTAACTTGTCTTGGGGGTTATAATAGACAAAATACTCAAAAATATTACTTTGGTAAAAAAGGAATCTTCTTCTTCGTCCTCAAACTGCAGTTCACCAATTTTCTTAGTGACCGTGATGACATTAGTGTCGTCTTTATCAGTTTTATTGCTCAGCAATTGCATCTGTAAATGCAAAATACATAAAAAATAAAACAATAATTTGTAAAAATATAAAATTGTTGTCATAAATGGGATGATTATCTTTCATACTCTATGGGTAGACGACGACGAGTCCAATTGAGACATTGGCGGTTGGCTCTGGGACGGCAATGTAAAATCAGTAAACTCAAACTCGCTGCCCTGGGTATCTGCGCCAATCATGTCGGCCTCTTCGGTCTCCAAGAATGTCAAGTTCTGGGAACTAGGTCCGTACGTGTCGACACTCATCGTGAATGATCCGGTCCTTAAGCAGCTTCAAAAGTTTAGGTGTAGGAGAGCGGTGACCACGAGTTGCGGTTCGGGGAGTAAGACGACGCGGACCGGAGCTACGTGAGTCCGGACTTAATAGTTAATGTGCCAAACACACAAAGTGCTGAGCACAGGGCGAACGCCCCAAGAGACACAGACAACGCGTCTCGCGGGGCCGTTTTCGGGTTTCAACTGTTCGGAAACTGCGTGCACCGTCGACGGCGGTCGTTGAGAACAAATCGGCGGCAAAACTATTCGAGGTATACAACTATTGACACTCCGCGTCACCGCGAAAATACAAACCTAATAAGACGACCACGACGCGTCGACGACCCACACGGAATCGAAAATAACAATAAAAGATTAACAATAATAATAATAATAATAAAAACACGGCACGAAACCCACAACAGTGAGTCGTATAGTATACCTGTGTATCCGCAGGTACCTATATAGCTGCAGTGTCGGAGAAAGAACGATGAAAACAGTTTTCAATGAAAACACAGTACACGCGCGCTCAAGGACAAAACCACTGATAAAAAACGCCTCGTCGACTTCGTGTCTCGTGCGATTCAACGCCGCTGCCGGGAACTAACCGGTCGTGGAAGAGAAAAAATTATAACGCGGGCTCGAAAACCACCATTCGATTCTTTGACGTCATAACTCGTATACCTGTATGGCAGTATATTACTACGTTTACATGCCGAAGTTAAAACGGATAATAAATTTGGTACAATTTAGAAAAAATAACTCAAACTATCAGTAAGAAACGGATAATAAATTTGATACAATTTAGAAAAAATAACTCAAACTATCAGTAAGAACGAGAGTATCTATATGGATTTAAAACAGTTTAAACATCACCATGTAAACGTAATAAATATATCTATATTATTAATTATTATATAGTAAATAGTTAATATCGAAAATTCATAAATCATAACTCTTAAGTAATAAAAATACAGTACATTTTTTACTTTCGGTAGAATTACCGCTAAAACCCTTCCGGGAGGGCATAAAATAGCCAAAAATAATTTGCAATTTATTATATTATATTAACAGAACCGTATTTGAGTATTTCTGCAAACAGTATCTTAGCTAACAAATATTTTCCTAATTGTTATTTTTATAATAAATAATTAGGATAACCAAACAAAAATACGAACAATTTGAATATTTACGTGAAACCAATTTTATTTTTTTATTGTAGATAAATATTCAAAACTTTAGAAACTTTAAATTTGAATATTACTGGATATTATACTTAGTTTAAATATTTAAAATGTATGGCTTTTTTTACAACTTATACATCCATATGTATATAATATATTAATATATAATATCATTAATATCACCTATACGTATTGTAAAATATTTGTTTGTAAGTAAAAAAACTTAAATGTTTAGTAGGTACATATTTTACTCAAGTATAAATAAAACCAAAACGTCTTATTCTATATAAAAACCAATCAATAGTAAAATTCCAATAATTATGCTATTGCTAAATCTACACGTATACCTAACTTAACCTATACCTTAACCTCACCTAACTTAACCTGGTTCGAATGCTATATTCGACAATCAAAAACGTCTTCGACATGGAAATTGAAACAAGCGATTTTAGAACCACAACGTTAATCAAGACGTCGCTAACAGGTATTCTCAATAATAGTTCATAAAAGAATCATAAAAAAAACAAGCCCAGCTTTGTATTCAGTCTTCACGAATAAGTACTCAGCCCTCCCTTTTAAAGAAAATTACTATCCGATAACATTTCGACAGACAAAACCCTTCACAAACACCAAACCGGAAAGCGTTCCAAACAAACATGTCCCACTTCCTCCACCAATATTCGAATGAAATATAGAAAACTTCATAGATTTCTGTCTTATTAAAGACCTAACAAAACTGTTTGGAACACAACACTTTAAGTGCAAGTCAAGAATACTATGATAGACTAAAAATCGAAACCACAAATTCCGATTCATATAGAATTAATGTCATCAGATTTTTAAAAATGTTCATCAGTTCCGCATTGTGGCATTTGCCATTTTCTCTATTCCCTTGTGTTGAAGTCAAATGTCAATACAACTACAAGGTCCATAAATTATTGCAAGTAATTTTAGTTCAAACACTGCAAGTCACGTTTCTTCACTTTTTCTCAAGGTCCATAATATAAAACTACTGGTTGTATCAGCCTCATATATAATTTAACTTTAAGTCTTTTGGATAATATTTTAGACCTTAACATACTCTCTTTAGGCCATAGCAACATCTATTTCCCATTTGTCATCTATTATATCATACTTTTATCTATAACTTATTGCCTTGTGCTATTATCGAACCTAGGTACTTAAAATGTGGCACTCGCTTAAACTTATGGCCATCTACTTCCATAAATTTCCTTGTTGGTATTCTCTATCTCTTCGCCCCATTATTATATAGGTACTCTGCTTTTTGTCATTGGTCTTCACTCCAATCTTACCCATAATTATTCATTTTTTACAGTGTTTCTCCGTTTCTAGATTATTAGGTACCTAGTATCTTAACAATCTTTGTACGATGTATGCCTATTATTGTCGCTAAATTAAAAAGAATGGTCGGAGAAATCATCTTTTAGACATGTATATACTTTTAATGTTTCTGATGCTGTGTTTGCTATTTTGATTTCAATGAATGTGTTGCGAGGCTTTAATCAGATTCACTAGTTTTTTGGAAAATTGAAATTCCGAAATCCTAAGCTTTTTTAAAACCAATAAAAATAATAGATAGTTGGTTATTGAATTCCTATGATTTCTTAGCAATTTGGTAAATACAGAAAATCGGATCTGTTGTTGATCTTTTAGCTATTGCCTCTATAGTTTCTAGAGTATTAAGAGTAATTTCTCTTATATATTAGACATATTAATGAGATATCCCAGTCTTGGAAGCAGTGGCGGCGCCAGGGGTGGGCCAGGGTGGGCCCGGGCCCACCTTAAAAAGTCACAGGCCCCCCCCTGTGGCCCACCCCAAAAATTGAATTTAATCATATTAGAATACTAAAAAATATCTCATGAATAAATCCATGATTTATTAAAATATGAAAATATTAAGTCATAATAGATGGCGTGAACAACATTTTGAATGGGTTGACAACTATGCTCTATATATGCTTTCAAACTTCATAAATAACGTGTATTTTCCAGAGGCTGAATACGAAAATAATAAATTATTATTAAATATTCGTTGGTATTGAGTGTAATTATGGGTTAGGGAGTATACAAATTAAAAAGTGTTTACATGAATATATATTTTGTTAGGAAATAAATACTATTAATACAATACATGTTTACAAATCATCGTTTTAGTAAGTTTACACAATGAAGTGTAAAAAAAATTGGAAGTTGACCCTCCCCCTTACCCCTCTGCGCATTTGCCTGTCATCACTATTGTTTATATATATCAAGTCAACAATTTGGCCCTCCCTAAACAATTTGGGCCCCAGCTTGGCCCACCTGGTATTAAAGTTCTGGCGCCGCCACTGCTTGGAAGTTTCTCTTTTCCCCAAATCATTTCTATTATCTCATGGATTTTTTATATTGTTGTTTCATATATTTTCTTTAAATTGTTGGCCTACATATCTTCTCCTGGAGATTTGTGGTTTTTTAATATTTTTATTTGCGCAAATATTTCATTTTTGGATGGTGCTGGGCAGAAGCTTTCGTTTGTTGTCATATCAGTTCTTGTTAACCCTTCTGCTGGATTTTTCCCATTGAGACATTTTTTAAAATATACTGTCGGCTTTTTTATATAATGAATTTATAAATATATAACCAATGGAATTATGAAAGGAATGTAGGTACTATGTGCCACTTAATTGGTATAGTCCGAATCAACTCAAACAAGGAGAAAACTAAAAAACAATTTTCACAGAAACATCTTAAACAATAATAAAAATAATCCAAAATATGAGAAAATCCATTCAAAAATGTAGCATGTTACTCTATATATTCCCAAAAGACATATATATGCTCAACAAGAACAATAATTGAGGAATAATAGTTATGTTTTAGGGTATTGACGTATTGTTATATCTGATAAGAAATCAAAGAAATCATACATATTGAGAGTTGAGACTGATTGTACCAGGTGTGATACATGCAAAAATGACTATAGAATGGATGTCACTCTGCTGTACAATAGGTTACAAGTGGGTCAATGTATAAAGTATTGTATATAATATCATTGTATAAGAAAAACCATTCTGGGAGGAGACAGTTTGTCAGTCCGGATATTGTTATTATTTATTATATCCTGTAAGTTGAATCTATATTATAATAGGTAATATTATTTTTTATTCGTTTCTATGGTGATAAACAAAGCGTTAAAAATTAAAATCCCATTTTTAACGGTTTTCCGTAATTTGTCAGTGGCTTTTCCTGTGGCATTAAATAACTATTGGAAAATCTAAAAATGACTCCTCTAAAGTACCATTTTGATCCAATTTGCTAAAAGATGAGGTACTATATGTTGAAATCGAAGCACTCATTCTGGTAGATATTTTGTATACAGGATATAAAAAATAAATAAATAAACATCATTGTAAAACCCCTATCGGTTACAATAGTTAGAATAAAAATTGTTATATCTAACCCAAAAACATATCTATGTTAAAATAATAATATTCATCAAAATGCAAGAATATAAAGTTGCTGTAAATATGTTGCCAAAGAATGGGAGACTTTTAAATAAATTAAAATGTATTTAAATCTCATAAATAAAGTAGGTTCAAATAATAATTTTTCTCTATTAAAAATTAGAATATTATAATTTTTGATTATATATTAATTTATACATGAAAAATGAAGTTGAATACTGATATAATCTGCCTATATTAATATTTTATATTTAAAATTAGAACATAATATTATTTAACTAATCATTGTTTTTTAAAATACAACTAATAAAAGATCATAATTATAATCATTTGACACAAACAATGGGAGATAAGTAATGAATTATGTATTAATATGTTATATTTTATTTATGTTACAGATACTTAAAATAATTGGCATATATATTATAAACAACAATTTTATTTTGGAGTACTAGGATCATCATCAATTTGACTTAATTCTGGAGAGCCTGTATTATCAACTGGTTTTTTTGAGGGAGTTCTAACTGTTGGAGATTCTTGCTTCTTTTGCAAAAGTGCATTGAAAAAGCTAGCCAACGCTCTTTCACTACTAGGAGGAGGATTATCTGAAATGCGTTTATTTGCTGATAATGGTTTTGTAAGTTCTATGGATTTCCTGACAACAGGTGTTTGTGGTTGAGTTAAATTTTGGTTTAACAACACAAGTTGTCTAGCCAAAAATGCCTGTTCCTCTTCATCTTGGAGTTCATGTTCTTTATGTGGTTTTTCATAAGGATATGGTATAGCATCACTATAATGTGATTCAGGGTTAATTTTTTGCATATTTTCATAGAGCACTTCAATTTTTTTCAAGCTATCCCAGCCCGAAGGAACAAACACAGAATCCTTTTCCACAATTAATGCAGGTGTTTTAAATGGAAAGCGATAAATTCTGAAAAAAAAATAATATAAAATGTAAATAAGACATGAGCTATGAATAAACATTGTTTATGTTTCTTTTACTTGACTAATAAAATAGTTTTATATTAGTGCTAAATAGATATAAATATCTAATTAATAATCACAAATTAATCACCAAATTTGTTTGGATGTTTTATTATTGATAGATAAGATACAAAATACAGGATACAAGTAAATCAATCCTGCACCAATTCAATATGGTCACATTTTGATATGCCAAAAAGATTTTTAAAAAAAGGAGCTCCAAATTATAATATCAAATAAGTAAGAGAAAAAATATTTATAATAGTACTATTACAACCCTCACACTTAGCTTTTATAAATATACTAACATTTTATAATATTATACTTTACCTATGCATTAAATATTTATAAAGAAGATCACAGTTTTTATCTTCCATTACAGATACATAGAACAATGCGGCTCCAAATTGTAGACAAAATTTTCGTAAAACACATTGAATGTAATCAAAATGTTCTTCAGAATAGTTATCAATTTCTAAATTTTTGATGCAATCAGTCATAGTTATAACAACAATTACATCCAATCCAAGATTTTTTGATAGAACTCCATCATTGAGAAGTCGAACCTTTGTGCTGGACTCATATGACGGATCTAATCATTTAAACAAAACTTTAATATAAAGCAAGTCTGAATTACATGCAATATTCACCATCAAGCAGCGTGTAATCAATGATTCTATCAACACATTTATCTCTGAGATTTTGAGTTTGTTCCATGCCTAAATTTAAACTATCTATATGATCTTGAAGTCTTGCTGACCAGTATTCTAAAGATTCCATAATTTTCCATGGGTGCTTTAAAGACGCAACTAAAACAATCGTTGTGTCCTCAAAATGTTGTTCATTTAATGCAAACTTCATCAAATATTTAAGAGAACGATCGCCATCTAATGTCCAAACATTTAATTGTGCATTTTCATCAGTGCTGTCATCGCGGACCTAGTAATTCAAGTATAATAAAAGTAAATAAATCTGAAATGTAGAACCTCAAATATTATATTACCTGTATGTACCCATACTCCATGCCCCATCCTTGTTTTGAATCTTTTAGACCTTGCAACTTGGTCACCAATGTTGTTTTGCCCGATTTACTATCACCCAGTAACAACACGTTTTTGTTTTCGGGCAATTTTTTTCGACTTTTATTCTGAACATCCAATAGAAGGTTATTCCAATGATTAGCATCATTTTCTACATCAACTTGAGTGCTAGAGTCTTAAATCGATACAATGAATATTTTATATAACATTTCTAATGTAAACTATCAATATGCTAACAAAACTATGGAACTTACTCATATTATATTAATGTGGATACCTGTTTAGTATTTACCGTAAGTAACGTATAAACCTTAAGGCCTTAAAGTTCTGTTGAAGTCAGTACACAGTGAAGAAACTAGAAAGCTTCCATACATTATACATTAATATACATTTTGCCACTTATCAATAATGCTGATAAGACAGGTAACCTCAATAATGCATATTCTATTGCCTATTCATATCTTAAAAGGGGTTTTGATAAACATTATATTTATTTTTCAGATTTTATTGAAAATTCGATATGGATAGTTAATAAGGTAATACGAAATACCAATTATTATTGATATTATACTAATAAATACAAGAATAAAAAATAAAGAACTTACTTTATTTTCTATGATTAAAATATTTTGAGGGGATTGCAAACGGACAATTATTTCAACCAAAATGTACCAATATTTTGTCAATCATACCGACGGATAAAAATTATTTAAATTCGTTGATAATAGTACCTATGTCTGCGTGAGATCAATCAGGCTACTTTTTTAAAATGTTGTTCATATTTCATAAGCTCCTATAAATATTATTTGAATATTTAAAATTTACGAAATTTTAAGCTTTGATCATTCGAAATTATATTAAATATATTAAAATGTGGCCTGATCGATCTTAAATCTTAATATTATCAGACATATTAACGAATTCAAATCAGTTTTCAGAAGTCTTATGGCATTATCAGGTCCATGCCGTCCATCGGTAGAATTGACAAAAAGTATATACAAATGAGCATAAGTAGTGGACAGTTCGCGCACCCAACGCTGTGGCGGTGACTTGTAGGTAATCTTTTTCTATGCTTGTATGTGTGTGTGGGGAACCGCTCCTCTATTTTATTTACACACACTTATAAATTATGATTTATGATCAATTACTACACACATTTTTACAAAGCCCAATTTGGAAATTGCCTTTTTATAATTACTTAAAAACTGTCGTTTTGATACCCCCTTAATTATATTATCAGTAATAAGTAATAACTAGTAATAAAACAAGTTATTATTTAATAAGTATCTATAATGCATATTATTTACCTACCTAATTTCAAGTATAATTATTATTATTTTATTAAATAAGAAAGGTATAATAACTAATGACTATGGTCATTATAATTGTTAATCATACAATTAAAGTATATAGCCCGTAAAATAGGGGAGGTAAAAATACAAATAATAATTATAAATATTAAATAGTAATTATTATAACAAAATAAAGTACATAATATTATATCTAATTGTTTTACTATTTTTTTTTTCTGACAAATTATCACATTTAATATGTCAATTTTCATTATAATTAAACTATTTATTATGAATTTTATTTAATCATTTTATACTATTTTAAACAATTTTATTTATTATTTGTATATTACTACTCCTATTTTATGGGCTATATATTGTAATCATGTATATAGGTAGTATATATTATATTAACATGTAAAGGCAGCTGGTACTTTCGGTTGGGGGAAACTGGTACATTTGGTTGAGGGCAACTGGTATTAAATTAAATAACTTCAAACGCTCATAAAACTTTAATTTGATTTGCTTGTAGACATTTTTTTTTCGATAAAGGTAGATAAACTTATGAATAATCTTGTATTACATTTTCAGAAAAGAAAAATTTTTATGAATTCTTAACTCAAAATAGTTTGCTAATTTTCGTGATTTTTCCGTATTTTGTCAAGAATTGAACTTTAAATGCTTATAAAAAACTGTTACTAGGGACTTTTAATATTTTTTAAATGTCATTGTAACAATAAAGTAGGAGCTTTGTATTAAATTTTCAAGTTTTTTTACCCAACAAATAAAGTTTTATTAACATTCATAGAAAAAAGACTACTCAAATTGGAAACTGAAAATGTCCCTAAACAGTTCAAAACAAATCAAAATATTTTGAAAATCGTGTATGGAAATGACTAAATGAGTATATAAACTACCAGTGAAAGTGTCATGTATATACATTCGTTTGTTTTAGAGTTACATCAAAAACCAAAACCGAGTAAAAATTCCCGTTTTCTCGGCGCTTTTGAAAACTATTGGGAATTTTAAATTTTGACCTCCCGATTGCACCAACTAGAATCACTTTTCCATCGAACAAGATACAGTAGTGGATACTGTTGAAGAAAATCAAGCCAGTCTTACTACTGCCACAAACGGTGGTAACAGATACAAACATAAAAATAAGAAAACACACATCATTGTAAAATCTATACATTCATCGATCGGCTCAGAATCAAAAATGGCATTTAGTAAGAAATAAGTTTAGGCGAGGATGCTCTTAAGAGGACGACGTTAAAGTGACATTTGTTGTCTCCGTAACTCCGTCTTACAAGTGCGTAACATAGCAAATTTTACGCTCAGAAAAACACGTTTATCTCCTGTTAGTTTAAAAATTAGAGCGAATTGACCTCTTTTAAAATATAAAGTTAAGATTATTATCTAGACAATGACATAGGCTTTTTATTATATTTTAATTTTTAAGCGAGTTATGAGTATTTTAAGATGTACAAACAGTTTACAATTTTAAAATACACATAACTTGCTTTAAAATTAAATTATAATAAAAAGCCTATGTCATTGTCTAGATAATAATCTTGCCTTTAAATTTTATAAGATGTCAATTCGCTCTAATTTTTAAACTAACAGGAGATAAACGTGTTTTTCTGAGCGTAAAACTTGCTATGTTACGCACTTGTAAGACAGAGAAAACAAATGTAACTGTAACGGCCCCTTAAGGCTTAAGGGCTTAGTGCTTACCCTACCATCGCCCATCTATATCGTGATTAAAAGACACAGTATGGCGGTATGTGGTAACGGCAGGCAAGGCACAAGGCGGAACTAATATTATGACAATATGTTCCGGATAAAAAGTATAAAGTGGGTTATAAAAAGCGCGGGCGTACGTCTGAAAACAATCGAGTAATCGAATCATTAGGTGATAACACAACGACTTCGAAGCGTGCCCGCCACAACGCCAACCTCCACCACGGAGGTTACTCGATCAGCAAACATGCTGCTGCTTGTTGTTGTGAATATTTTAATATGATAACGATTAACGGCCCCCTTCGCCTCGTGTCCTCGTCGGCAACAGCTGCGGTGGAAGTAGATTTGTTTTTAATAGCAATTTAACGGAATTTCCGTCCGGATGGTGTGACGGACGACGAGAGTATGACACTAATGAATACCAGTCCGCGCACTGCACTACAGACTGCTACGGCAAACCAGTTACCAGTATTATAATTATTACGCCGCGCGCCGTCGTTTTAATGTTTTTAGTTTTATGTTTTATCACAATCTCACTACCGTCTACCTCAGTAATCTCACATGACGATTGACGACGAATGACTGGGCCGGCATTGCGGCACCGGAACGAGTTTCGTCCACGATTATTTGAATACAAGATTTAATATTATCATTTTTTTTTTTCATTATTTTGCTATAATATCATTTGTTGCAATGTCTTATTATCGTGTACGCAGCAGATAGGCTACTGTATTAATATTTTAATTTCGGTATTATTTTGTTTGTTTTTAATTGTTACTTAAATCCCCTACCTGATGAATTACGAGATGAATGTCGTGTGAAACACTACGGACACCCCACCTACCAGTCACAATGGCCAAGTTCGTCGTAAGTATCGTGATTTTTGTAACCCACTTTATACTTTTCATCCCTGCAATTTCTCTATATTATGACCGTATAATCATGCCTTGTGCCAATTACATTTTACCGTCTATATACAACTTTTTCAATAAAAATATAATTTGGGTTGAAAAGCCATACTTCAATCCTGATTTGATGCAGTTATCCTGCCATTAAAACAAAAAACTAAAATGTTATAGGTAATGCAAATAATATCTGCTATATTATATCATATTCAAAAACTGATTGCATTCCTTGTAAAGTTTTAGTTTAGCTGTTCTTAATTACCTATTATTTTTATTATTATTTAATTAATAGGTAAACTAAAAAAAAAATAAGAGTCAAAGCAGTTACTATCTATGTGTTAACATTGACCATTAAGTTAACTAAAGAACAACCAACATCAATCTATGTATACAATATAAATTTTAAAATTGTGATTACCAGTTAGAAGACCAGATGAGTGACATGATAAGTGATTTTTATGCTTCGATGTTCAAAAACCCAATATATTTTCTATTTGAATACTTTTAAATACTTTCAAACTATAGGTACAATATAGTATTATACGTTTCCAGTAAGCTACTCTGTAGATAAATAATAAATTATTATTTTCTCACAACCATGGATTTCTGAATATTAAGACTATAAAGGATTTTCTAATTAAAAATTATAATTCAAATAATAAAGATTATTGTTTCTTATGAAATAAAATGGGTATTTAGAATAATAACATTTCATTGTTTATCATCTAAATATAATTTATTAATAATTACCTTTAATGAGCATTATCAAATCCTAAGTTAATAAATTAGTCCTAACTTAAATTTAAGGAAAATACTATTTTATTTAGATATAGCTGAGGATATAGCATAGTTAATTTAAACAATGGAATTTTTGTGATAAAAAAAAAATAAGTAGGTACCTCTACCTAATTAGTAATTATATGAAATTACATTAAAAATCATTTGAACATTTTGCACATACCTAAGTACCTATACTTGAATTTTTGTATTAATACCTAGCAAATTTATTAAAAAAAAAAAATAAAATAAAATAAATTATGATTTTAAATGGCGATTATATTCATATGTACCTACCTTATTTTGTTATAAAATATAGTTTATGTATTTTTTTAAATTTATATTATTTTAGGTTGAATTTTCTCCTCCGGAAAAAATTAAATCAGAGCCATGCGATGTTACAGATTCAATTGTAAACTATCGTATGGTATTAGCACCATTCCAAAAACAAACTCAAGTAGAATTCAACAACATTAAATTAAAAGAAATTGCTGTGAGATTTCTTACAGTTGTCAATCCTCTCGACAGACACGGACAGGTT